TCAGTAATCTAAGAAAATAATCCTCCAATTCTCTTGATTTTTATTTGACATATTATTGTTTATATACAATAATGTTATATACAACGTTTTTCCTCGTACTTTTTTTTCGTAGATTTGTTCTGATATTTAACATATTCTGCAAACAAAGTTTGATTATCATAAGAAGAATATTACTCATAAGAAGAAGAATACATCACATAAATCCATAAACCAGTCGAATGATTCTTTAATTCTTCTGATTTTTATTCGATACATATTATTGTTGATCGCGATGTTTCTTTTCTTCGTAAGTTTGTTCTGATATTTAACATTCTGCGAGTAATGATCAACTCATGCAGAGTTTAGAGAAGAATATTACTCACGATAGAAGAATTGTAATCGATCGTAGTTTATCACTTTAAATAATACTGTCTGCTTCAAAGCACGCAGGTATAATATAACAATCGTTTAAGCAGCAACATTATTTAAATAACTGAATCAATGGAATGCATGCCTCAGCATTATTGTCGAACTAAACATCTTACATCCTTCCAATACCTACTTAAAAAATAACTAAACACTCTTCAACTCTCGAACATTAAGATCGTGTCGTTCCTCATAGAAAATCAATTTCATACAAAATGATCAGCTAGGAAATGTTGATCTTCTCATGGATGGATCTAACGACAAATGCACTACATTTTGCATCCTTACACAAACAACTAGACATTCTTCAACTCACGAACTTTAAGGTCACGTTGTTCTTCGTACAAAATCAATTTCACACAGAACGATCAACTAGAAAATTGTCGATCCTTTCATGGTGACGTATAATGGATTTATCATTGATGATCGGCACAGATTGTGTTTCTTCACCGTACGTACCCAAATAAGAAATGGTTTGAGGCTGCTGGTACGCATTTCCTGCACCTGTCGTAACACCATGTTGACCATGGGCATGGATACGTAAAACGATGCAACCACGACGCGCATTCCCGGCTGCCTTGCATAATTGCCCGAGAGAGTAGTATACGGAGAGTAGTATGATTTTTCGCGCCTGATCGTTCTGCCTTCTATCGTGCTATTACACTTCCTCTTTTTCGTTCCCCAGCAGTTTTTCCCAGTGAGATGCAGCCCGCGCCTCGCGCATAATTTTCAATGTAAATTGATACTTTGGTAAAACGTACGTACGAGCTTCACATCGTGCCAATTAAGTCGCCGGTTTCTGTTTTTATCCTCGAAGTATGCTCCATCAGTGCAAAAGCAAACTTTCCTCGCTTTCGTACGAAAAGTCTTCGCACAAAGTTGAATATTCTTTTTTTTCTTTCTTTTTAAAGGTGTCGAATATGTATTTTTTCTCCTTTTTCTTTTTCAATGTAGAAAATTACACTTTCCGATTACTTGATTGAAAAAAAAAGAAAAGAGAAAAACATTGGCCGCGTTGTTCCCTAGTTTCGTGACAACGAGTAGGATAATTCATTGTAATAATTCGCCTGAACCGTGAATTTACATACATTCGTCCTCGAGGCGCATTTCCGTACAATTAAAAACGTTACGTTGATATGCCGCACACGTTCACGGACATTGCCTCTTTTAGACGCGCTCGTCGCTATTCGCATTCGAATGTAAATTAGGTTGACTAATACCTCGACGGAACGTCTTGAAACCTTTGTCGAAAGTCGTTCCGTGACTTATCGCGTGTTCTAGTTTAAAAAAAAAAAA